TATTTCCAGGCACTTCAACTATGTGTTTGTTGTTCCCAATCAACTAATCAATTAGGGTTTATTGCGTGTCTGTGCGGGGAACAGGGTGTTCTTTGGTGCTGGAGGAAGCTCAGAAGCTTAAGCATAGAAGCATGAGATTCTCTGAAGTATATGTGTATGTGTAACCAAGCAGGAGTTTCAGCTTCAAACCAAGTTGGGTTTGCATCCAGCCGGTGAGGTCTTCTAAGCAGAATTGGTCAAGATGGTCGCCAAAGTGTGACATTAGTGGTGAATAGCAAGAACTTTAAATAGATCTCTGATCTATCCTCTTGCCTGTCAAGGGTGTTGGTTCTGTTCAGGAAGAAAGTGCTAAAAATGAAAGAGTAAGGAAAACAAGGTCAGGGGTTCCATGAAGCCTTCCCTAATTCGTCAGGTTTTACTTTCAGACTCTAATGGTGAGGGTGAGCCATTACAAATCAAAATAAAGTACCAATTCCCTGACCCCCCTTGGTGGGGCTCGGCAAACGGATAAATAAGACCTGGTTGCTGGTTTTACCTTGCTTCCCCTTAAGCAAATTACTGAGCCTCTCTCTGCCTCTCTAGCCCGTCCATCAAATGGGCAAATGGGCACGACAGGAACGCTCTCATGGGTCTCACAGGACTGTAACGAGGATTGCTTGAGATCCTGACAAGTGCTTTAGAAAGAAGAGAACATTGTCCATATGATCTGAGGGAGGCTGGAGACCACATCCCATTCAAGCAACCAGCACAGTGTGGGTCTGGCACGCAGTAGGAGCTCAATAAACATTTGGGGAGTGTACAGGGAATTGGCAGATGTTACCATGAGCCTGTAAAGGGCAGAGAACCACACATCATTCCATCAACTCCAGCCTGAGGAGGCAGCTCCCTCCACTCCAGCCGCACCCCCATATCCATCCTCCCTAGAGCAGTCCTCACCCTGTCACCCCTGTATCTACTATAAGGAGTCCCACATTCAGGGCAGCAGAGATTCAAAGCCTAAAGTTTACCCCCAGGGAGGGAGCAGAGGCAAGCTCTGACCTCAGCCCGTCTCCTCAGGTTTCAAGGGCTGCAGCACTCACTGTCACAAGGGACTGGCCAGCTCAGCCCTCATTTCCCGCTCCTGGCTGCTGAGGCAGGGGAATGTCAGGCCATTGTGTCAGCTCTCTGGCCTTGGAGCCAACAGCAGCTCTCTGGCCTTGGAGCCAACAGCAGCTCTCTGGCCTTGGAGGACACCTGGCACCAGACAACAGCTGTGCCCTGATCCACCTCCAGCTGGGGCCTCAGGAGCTCCATCATCTCCTAGCCCAGCCAGCCTGCCACTCCTGAGCATTTGGTACCAACAGCAGAGGACCCCTGTCCCCATCCCCCGGCTGGTCTGTTCTGGGGAGCCAGCACAAGGTGACTCAAGCCCGGTCCACTGGCTGGATTTCCCAAGGAGCTTTCCCGTATTTCCTGAGTCATCCTTCTCATTGTGATATCCTAGAGGACAGGATGAGCCATGAAGGCCTGCAGCCGTGGGGTTCTGACAAGCGGTCACTTCCCAAAGCCTGATTTCTTTCCTTCTTTCTTTCTTTTCTTTCTCTTTCTTTTTTTTTTTTTTCTTTCTTTCTTTCTTTCTTTTTCTTTCTTTCTTTCTTTCCTTTCTTTCTTTCTTTCCTTTCTTTCTCTCTCTCTCTCTTTCTTTCTTTTTCTTCCTTCCTTCTTTCTTTCTTTTTTTAGAGATTTTATTTATTTACTTGACAGAGAGAGAGTGAGAGAGCACAAGCAGGGGGAGTGGGAGAGGGAGAAGCAGGCTTCCAGCGGAGCAGGGAGCCTGATGTGGGGCTCGATCCCAGGACCCTGGGATCATGACCCAAGCCAAAGGCAGACGCCTAACGACTGAGCCACCCAGGCGCCCCCAAAGCTTTCCACCCAAATACAAAGTCTAGAGGGCAGGGCACATGGCTGACTCTTATACTGCTTTCTCATCCCAGTGCTGAGAACTGTGTCTGCCCCAAAACAGGTGCTTTGTTAATACGAAGTGAATGAGTGAATGAGTGAACAAGTGAAATTTTTGCAACGAGTGAGTGAATGAGTGAACAAGTGAAATTTTTGCAATGTTTACTATAATAAATGATAGTTATCATAAATAAGTTATGATTATAATTAACTTTAAAAAGAAGCTGTGAGGGGCGCCTGGGTGGCTCAGTCATTAAGCATCTGCCTTTAGCTCAGGTCATGATCCCAGGGTCCTGGGATCGAGCCCCCTATCGGGCTCCCTGCTCTGTGGGAAGCCTGCTTCTCCCTCTCCCACTCCCCCTGCTTGTGTTACCTCTTTTGCTGTGTCTCTCTCTGTCAAATAAAAAAAAAAAAAAACAAGAAACTTTAAACAAACAAAAAATAAATAGAAAGAAGCTGTGAGTTCCATAGTCTTTCAGGATCAACATACATATTGTCCTGTCTTATTCATTGATTATGCATTCATGCAGTCATTCAGCTATTCATTTAACGTTGTGTTTGATCTGTAGGAGCTGGGAATTGAATAGTCATATAATGTAGTCAGAGCTATAAAATAGGGGTACAAAGTTCTAGGAGTGTCTCTGATGTGGAGATTTGACCTAGTCGAGGAGGTCAGCGGAAGCTACCTGGAGGAAGCCCCATTTGAGCCAAGGTCTAAACAAAGAAAGTCATTAACTGGGAGCCACAGAATACTGTCGGAAGAGGGATGCCCTGTGAAAGGCTCAGTGGCGGAAGGGAACGTGCCAGGAGGAGGAGCTAAGGGTCAGCTGGGAAGTAAGGGAATAAGACTGAGTCAGCCACCTTGGAGGCGGGCAGATGTTCAGCAGCATCCAGATGTGCTCAATGGGTGCCTTGGGCCAGGGCAGGGTGCCCTTTAGGAGATGTCACCTCCTCCAGGAGACCGTTTCCAACCCTCCAGTCTAGGTCAGGGCCCTCCTTTGTATTCTCATGGGACTCAGGGCTTCCCTCATTGTTTAACTTATCAAAGTCTACTTTAATGATCTGTTTTCTTCCTTTTTGGCCTCCTCATCTCTTGACTATTCATCTCTTGCCACCAGTACCTAATACAATGCCTAGGACGTGATGGTGTCCCCATTAGTGTTTGGTAAATGGATGCATGGAGAGCCCTCAGATCACAGAGCGCATTGGACAGGCAGTTGAATTTCTGCGCACTCACGAAGCCCCCACTGTGCTGCAAACGGGAGAGACAGTGGAGGAGCAGGAAGTCAGAAGGCTGGAAAAGAGAAAGCTCAGGGGATGCGATGCAGTTAGTGCTACATGAAGGAAAGTAGGATTTAGAATACCATCCTTAATAGGAAGGAGGGATGACAGTTGCAAGGAGGATTTGTTTACCAGATGCTGAAAAGAAATTTCAACAGGTAAAGTTGCATGAGTTTACATGGATGAAAAAGAACATCTGCTGGTATTTAACAGATTCTCATGTATCAGGTGCCAAGCACTGTTCTCAGTGTTTTGCAAGTATTAAGCCATTTAAATCCTCATAATGATTGCATGAAGCTCTTAACTATGACTCTGTCTATTTTATAGGTGGGAAAACTGAGGAGCAGAGAGTACTCCTCCCTCCCCTCCACCCCACCTCCTGGGCCAAGCAGCCAGGAAGTGACAGAGCCAAGCTATGAGCCCAAGCACTTTGACCTGGAAGCCAGGCTCTTACTGCCACCCAGTCCAGCTCTGGAACCGCCCCCACTTTGGTGCTTGTGTACCTGATGATTTGGTACCTTTTCAAAGATCCTCCTGAGAGGGAGGCAGGATTCTTTCGCATTTTGCAGAGAAGAAAACTGAGGCTTAACGACATTAATTTACCAAAGATCAGCCAGCGGGTCAGTGGCAGAGCCAGGATCTGTGATGAAAGATGCCCTTATTGCCTCTCTCATTCCCTCACTGCTCTCGGCTGAGCTCTACACCTGGGTCATCTTCTGTGCCACTCCCTTGACAGCTTGGGAACCTCAGCCAAGGCCTGGCAGATGGCTATACCCTGTGCACACGGCTGACTCAGCAGCCCCTTCTCTACTCCCCAGCTTCCCATCCTAACGCTGAGCCTCTAACCCGCCATGGCAGAGACAGGGACATCATCCCAACCTGGCATGGGATTAAAAACAGCTAAATCCATCAACAAATTTGGGGGGAAAAAATAGGTGCAGTTGCAATCTATTTATACTACCCTGATGCCCCGATGGGCAGGATGGGCAGGATGGCGTCAGCCCGATCTAGGAAAGGTGGTTAAGGATTCAGCAAGTCAGCATCCCAGGGCCCCGCAAGGCCAATGTGGAACATTCCCGGCTTGGGCTTGGAGCGTCAAGCAGACTTGCTGTCTCACCAGTTGGATGCCAGGATGCTCTTCCTAGTGCCGCCCTACCCCTGCTCTCCTGCTTCATCTCTCAAGGGCTCCCTTTGCCCAAAGGCTGGCAGGCTCATGGAGCAGCTGAAACCAGGGAAAGGGGCAGTTGGGCCCAATTCAGTCTCTTTGACACAGAGTCCTAGGGCCAAGTTGATAGTGCAGGCCTGTTATCCTGCATCTTGTAGTAACCTGACTCAAAAGACATCTGATGCAAGCTTCACTACTCAGTTCCCCTTTCTAAGATGACATGTCGCTGTGACAGTCTGTGCCTTGGTTTCCTCATGTATGAGAATAGAAACTTCTCAAGCTTCTAGCACATACAAGCTTGACCAAGGGAGCCCTCCTTGAGACAATAACTGAAAAGATTTCCTTTTGTGGGCTGAGGTAGGGGGCAGGAGACACTTGGTTTTCAGGATCAGGCAGATCTGGGTTCAAACCCTGGATTTGCCTCTTCCTGTCTATGTGATCTCTGAGCCTTGGAAATCATAACCAATCCAATTCTCAAAACAGTCTTCTGAGGTAGGTGCTATCTCTAGTTACATGGGTTTTTTGTTTGTTTGTTTGTTTGTTTGTTTTTAAAGTAGGCTCCACATCCAGCACGGGGCCCAGTGTGGGGCTTGAACTCATGACCCTGAAATCAGCACCTGAGCTGAGATCCAGAGTCAGATGCCTAACTGACTAAGCCACCCAGGCACTCCTCTAGTTACATCTTATAATTGAGAAACTGGGATACAGAGAGGTAAGTTAACTTGCCCAAGGTCACAGAGCTGGTAGGTAGCAGAGTCAGGTGGCCTAGCTCTGGTCTGTGCTCCTAACCACCAGCCTACACTGCCCTGCTTCCTGTGATACCTGAAGAGCAGAATTCTGATCCTGGCCCTGGCAGTAGCTTAAGTCACACGGTCACTTGGGCCTCATCTGTAAAATGAGGGGAGAAGACCGCTGATTCTACACAATGTAGCACTATCTTAGCCTCTAAGTCGTTTCTGAGAGTGTGTTGTCTCTGCCCATCGGCCCACAAGGTGCTGAGACAGTTGTGGGCAGATCTCTCCTCCTTGTTCCCCCCACCCCCAATTCCATGCCCTGCCTCCTAGCCTTGGCTTTAGGGATCAGCAACCAGGGCAGTGAAAGAGCATCCTCCCAGGGTCTCCTGTGGGTCCACAGCAGCCCTCTTACAGAGCTCCAGGGTGCTATGGGGAAAGAGGCGCACTTCTGGACCGTGTGGACCATGCCGATAGGTTGCATCACCCCCCACATCAAAGTTTGCTTGGCTTCTTAGTCACACTGCATGACCAATTTAAGGTAATTCTGAGAATCTCAGTATTGGAGGGGAATGGGCAGCAAGGACAGGAATGCAGGAGCGTCCTCTTCAGCAGCTCTAACCCAGCTGGCTGGTGTGCCCTCGTAATGGCCAACTCAGCCTAACCTAGGGCTCAAGCTAGGGCTAAGAGAGTCTGAGCCCCTCCTGGTTGGCCCAAACTGAAGTTCTTCCTGAGGTTGGGCTGCAGTGTGACTTTTCTGTCATGTCCACCTTCTGGGGCTAGTGTGGCCCTTTGGAGGATTGCAGGGTCCCTCTCGTGGGACAGTCCTTTATCAACTTCAAGAGAGTCCCTGTGTCCCTGCCAACTCTTCTATTTTCTAGATTAAACATCCTCATTTCCTTTCATTCTACCTCCTAGTAGTTCAGCGTTCTTTGAGGCTTTTTTGTCACCACTCTCCTCCCTCTCTTCTCAATCTGTCCTAATGGATTTTCCAGGAATCCCAACTCAGGATCCCTTTCAAAATACTATTCTCAGGGCATAAGACTCCAGTGCCTGGTAGGCCAAGACTCTATCTATGGTTTCTCTTTGCCATCTCTTCGCTCCACCCCCTCCAACTCTCCAGGCTTTCTTCTGGAAACTGCACCCCCCAAAACTCCAACCACATGGTCCTCGTAGGGGCTGCCATGTTCAGCTATGACTCTGCCCCCAAGGCCAGTTGGTTGGCTGAGAGGTCGGCACTATATTTAAGCTGCTCCAATCGATTCATTTCTTGGGATTTGGGGATTTGAGGGCCTCTCTGGTGGCTAAAACTGTGAGATACAAAACTCAGCAGCTATTGGCAGCTATACCGATCAGGACAGAGTAGGCTATGCTGCAGAAATGAATCAATTCCGAGATGTCAGTGGCTTAATCCAATGAAAATGTATTTCCTTTCCATGCAAAGTTTGATGGGGGTTGGGTACTTCTGGGAAGTTCTTCTCCAAGTGGTGATTCAGGGGTCCCAGATCCTCCTATCCTGAGGCTCCATCCTCTTAAAAGTCTTTCAGTTCCAGCTGCAAAGATGGGGGTAAAGGGAATAAAGGGGTGGGAGGAGGACATGGAGAAGTCCTCTCTGCTCTGAATGGCTTCTGCCTGAAAGGGATGCACATCACTTCCCCCACATTCTCCAGTCAGGTTTCAGGCTGAAGTGTCACTTAACTCACTGCAGGGGAGACTGCGAGAGGTCTTCTTTCTATGTGCTGAGAAAGAAGAGGGAAAAAAAAGCAAGATTGTGAGAGGACACTTGCTGTTGCCATGTTTCTTTGCCATGTGCAGAAAGCTGGTCTGTACTGAGAGAAGCGGTCACAGGCGGGGCCGGGGGAGAGACGGGGAGCAAGTTCCTGATTAGACTGGCTCCCGAGGGTCATCACCTTCTCTAGGGCTTGTCTGCTATGTGATACACCACCACGGCATCCCTCCAGGACATTCCTCCTGTGCTAAGCTAATCTTGTATGACTTTTGGTCACATACCTCTAAAGGAGACGAATTATCTAATACATTCCTTGTCTTCATATTATAATGCTATTGATGCAAACTAAATGATCACACACTCTTTTCTGAACCTTTTCACTCGAGTTGTTATCAATTCAAATCTCCCCATCTGGACTCCCTTGTCTAATTCAAATGACCTCTGATAGCACATATTTCAGATATTATGGCCCATATGATCCCTGTCCAACTACGCAGCTCTGCTGTTGTAGCATTGAAAGCAGCCACAGATCGTATATAAACAAATGAACGTGGCTGTGTTCCAGTAAATCTGATCTTACAAAAATGACTGCAGGCTGGATTTGGCACACAGGTCATGGTTTCCCAACCCCTGATCTAGTTGGTCATTTTAGATCTGAGCTTGGGATTCTCATTGCTCCCTACTAAACAGAATCTTGTTAGCATCAATCCATCCTTCACGTCAGCAGACATATTTTTGGATCCTGACTCTACCATCAGCCTAGCAGCTCTCCCTCCCTGCTCTGTGTCATGTGCATATCAAATGAGCTTTCTTAACGGTTCATCAGACTAGCAGGGCCTTGACAATGTCATGAGTGGTGACCACACTGCTCCTCCTGAGAAGGGTCACACTGGAAGGCGGGACCCAAAGGATAAGATGCTGGACAGCAGTCCCTTCTAGTCACTCCGCGCACGGCCTCTGCTGACCTGGGGCCAGCACCCTCTCTGACTCTCTGATTTCATGCAGGGCATCTGACTCAGGGTTGGGGCGGGAGTCATTTGGGGCTGTTTCCTTCTCTGAAGAATTCCCTTATTCCACACTCATTGCATTTCAATGTGATAAACGCAATGTCCATTCCTTCCCTGTGTCCTCCAGCAATCTCTGGGCATCCTCCATAGTCAGAGCTGCAGATCCCAATCTTAGTGCTGGGAGAAACTTAGCAAATCATCAAGTCCAGTACTCTTCCTTTTACAGATGAGAAAACATGAAGGCAAGATGGGGACAACTTGCCCAAAGGCAAGAAGGACATCTGTGGAAGAGGCAGTCTAGAACCCGGGGTCCTTCTTCCTCCTTCCACATCTTTCCAGAAGGAACTGCCTCCAGTGAGCTTCCAGGCCATGAAGCCCTGGGAGCCCTCTTCTGATACCGGTCCAGTGGACAGAGAGGATAGGAACTGGGGGGCTCTGTTATACTGCAGTGCCTCTATCTGGGCCTCACAGCTTGCCATCAAAATGAATAGAAGATTGAGTTTTTCCTGGAATGTTCTGGTTTTGGGGATTGTTTCTCTCATCGGCTTGGCTCTAAAGCCAAAAGGACTTTGCATTGAGCAAAGTGAAGTCCATGAGCTGCTTTGTAAATTGTCTTCCTTAAACCAAGCTGATGATGTTTCCTTATGAAATGCAATTTCTATATACATGTTTTTTTTTTTTTCTGGCTCCCATGTGTGTTTTTTTCCAACACCAAACATGTGTTGTTTTTCCACTTCAATTCTCCAATTCTCTATCACCACCTAGGTGTCCAACAATTCAATTCAATTCAATTCTGACACCATCTACCTGGAGTTAGCATCAGATCCCACAAACTAAAGGACCTGGTCCTATAGACTGTCCCCACTTTAAATACCAACTGCAAGTAGAGTCCCCAGATGACCCTTACTTCTGCCTGACCAGTTATAAATTCAGAGGTTTCTATGACTACCCCCCCCAAGTTTGATAATTCACTGGAATGACTCACAGAACTAAAGACAGTGCTTTACTTATGATAATAGCATGTTATTATAAAGGATACAACTCAGGAACAGCCAAATGGTAAAGATACATAGAGCAAAGGATGAGAGTAGAGAGGAGGGTGGAGTTTCCATGCCCTCTTAGGGCACATCACTCAGTGAGCACTTTGATGCGTTCACCAACCTGGAAGTTCTCAGAATCTCATTATTTCAGAGTTTTGATAACTCAAATCTCCAGTCGCCCTTCTATCCTTAAGAGTTTGGGAGGTGAGGCTGAAAATTCCCATCCTATAATCATATGTTTGGTCTTTCTGGCAATCAGCCCCTATCCTGAAGCTAGCTGGAGACTCTGCCCTGAGTCTCTGCATTGGCATAAACTCAGATGTGTTCAAAAGGGCTCATTATGAATAGCAACAGACATTCCTATCAGGAAATTGCAAGGGTTTTAGGAGCTTTGTGCCAGGAACCCAGGACAAAAACCAAAAAAAAATTTTTTTTTATTATACCATATTATACTATATAGTTCATAAATCAGCCTGATGTTTACAGCTTGAGCCCTAAAAACACACTCTGGACACAGTTCATCACAATCACTAAGAGGCCACCCTCCTCCCATAAAAGGCAAGGATACTCCTTGTCTTAGTATCTGTTTCCTTATTTGGGGTAAAAGACTTGATTGCGGCCATATCATTGTTATATTCCCATTTCTCACTCCACAGGACTCCCTGTCATTCCCGGAAGCTGGCCCTCTTCCCCTTCACCTGCATGGAGCCATCTGCTTGGAATGTTCTTCTTGCCCTTCTTTCCCTGTCAAATTGCAGATGGGTAAAAAGGTCTCAGGGCACAGAATATTTTGTGGTGGTGGTAGGTCTTCTATGACAGGGTGCTCCTAATTTACATTTGTTTCAGGTTTATGTATTTATTTTTTTTTTGGCTAGAAAAAATCATTTTACACCGTCACAGAACAAACAGTTGTATTTTTTCGCTCACAACTTACAGAGCTCATTTAATGCAACTTTTGTTGGTTCTACACATTTCTGACCATCACAAACAAATTCTTCCCTATGGGAGGTTAGAAGGATATGTGCCCAAACTCCCCTGTGCCCTGAGGCTACATTTGTGGTCGAAATCATATTCATCCTCCCAAGCCCTGCTCAAGTGCTTCCTCCTCTGTGAAGCCTTCGCGGTTAACCAGGTAGAATTGAAATGGACCTTCACATAGCACTTTGTACTCTGTGCTCTAACAGCTTGTTTATGAGGCTGTTTGCCTGCAAAGGCTTTAAGCATCTAGTTGTTTATCTTTGCCCTGAGGAGTATCTGACACATAATGTGGGCTTACTAAATATTTTGTCCTGATCTTTTGGGGAAGAGAAGTCAACCTAATTAGACAAGAACCAGGACAGGACCTAGAGGAAAACTGATGGTGGGGGCAGGAAAGGTGCTCCTTGACAGTCTTCCTCTTTTCAGAGGAGAAGCTAGTACTATCCTCTGCCGAGTTCTGGTTTACTCAGCTTTCTGCATGGGTAGACCTACCTCCCCAAGAAACACACATAGTTCTATTAATAGATACAACTCAAAGACAACAGCTCCAAAAATAACTTCTTCTTCAAGGTCAGTGCAAGGCCACAGAAACACCATTCTGGTCAACCCACTGAACCAATGTGTAGACGTTGGGTCCCAGGTCAAAAGACTCCCAATCCTCATGGATGGGGTACTGTGGAGTGTTAGCAGGGTCACATTATGGCTTTCATGGGACGTAGGCACTTGTGCCTTTGTGGGCTCATCCTTCCATAAAAATACACTCAAAATTATATTTTGTATCTACATTGGCAGAAAAACAACTATAATCCAGCCTTGACTCATTTTTTATATATTCATTATTCTTATATTCATCTCCTGATTTTATTTTTTTTAAGATTTTATTTATTTATTTGACAGAGAGACACACCAGCGAGAGAGGGAACACAAGCAGGGGGAGCGGGAGAGGGAGAAGCAGGCTTCCCGCGGAGCAGGGAGCCCGATGCGGGGCTCGATCCCAGGACCCTGGGACCATGACCTGGGACCGTGACCTTGGCCGAAGGCAGACACTTAATGGCTGAGCCACCCAGGCACCCCTCATCTCCTGATTTTAAAAGAAATTAAAATTAAAACATTTTCATGGGTCTCTAAAAGTACCGTGGGACTGCATTAGTCTGGGTTCTCCAGAGAAACAGAAGCAATAGGAGATATATGGATATAGAAGGAGATTTATTATAAGGAATTGGCTCGTGTGTTATTGGAGGCTGAGAAGCCCACAATCTGTAGTCAGCAAGCTAAAGACCCAGGAGAGCTGATATGGTGTAAGTTCTGTTCAAATGTGCGATTAAAGGCAGGAGAAAAATCAATGTGCCAGCTGAGAAATAATCAGGCAGAGAGAGTGAATTCTCCCTTACTCTGCCCTTTCTGTTCTATTCAGGCTTCCAATAGATTGGATGTGGCCTATCCACACTGGGGAGGACAATCTTCTTTACTCAGATCTATGGATTCAAATATTAACCTCATCCAGAAACATCCTTACAGACATTCCCAGAATAACGTTTAACCAAATATCTGGGCATCCAGTAGCCCAGTCATGTTGACCCATAAAATTAACCATCACGAGTCCACCCTCATCAACTTGGCATCCATGTGCGTCTCCTTAAACCATATTTATTCTCCAAATAAAGACAATAAAAAGGCCATAAATCTGCCTAACATGATGCAACCATCTTGCATGCAACCAAAAATACACTAACTTCTTCCCCAGAAGAGGAGGTAAATTCCTTTAAAGATGTTTACTCTTCTTCTTGATATCCTGTAACTTGATGACTAGGATGTAAAATTAACAAATCTTTTAAACTATTATATAAAGACAATACATCTTATGTCCTCATTTCTGTAAATGGTCATGTGATCATAACAGGTACTTGTAACAATTTTCTTACACTAGGCATTCTGTATTCCTTTTACCTTCAGCAAGCACCTCAGTTAGTCACGTTTCTTTACCTGATGGGGTGACCCAAACCTTCATTCCTGTTGAGTCTGGGCCATTAGCAGTCCTGCCTGGGTTGAGCTGTTGTAGTTTTTTGCTGACCTTACTCACAGTGCATGGTAATATCAAAGGACACCCTTAGAGATCTCCTATATTCCAGACATACTCTTCTTTACCTCCATTGTGCATTTGCAGCCCAATTTCCCCTTGTTAGTGAAGACCAATTACCCCAGTCAGCACAGTAATTCTCTTCTCTGCCTGTTGATTCAGGGACATGAGGGGTCCAAACTGGCTGGGCTGTAATCTTAACTTCTAGTTCAATGGAATCATTGTCATGTCTCCTGGTGAAAACATTCCTCCCTTTGGGACGAAGACCTCTAGGCCAGCAGAGCATAAGGTCATGGGAACAGGAAGCAAAAATTTTGCTAGTGAGCAACTAGGGGTAACAGTGAGTGGTGCCCCTCCCATTTCCATCTCTTGCTTCCTGGACCTATGAACCCTGGCTATGGGGGAAATGGCCCCATATACTGACCCTAATTCAGAGTTGATAGAACCTTCTGGAGAATTTCACCCCAGCCCTGCAAGGTATTGCCACCTAACTGGCATTATAACTGAGTGTTCAAAAGATCATTCCACTATTCTATCAAACCATATGCTTCAGAGTGGTGGGGACCATGGAAAGACTAGTGAATTCCATGAGCACGGACCTATTGTGGCACTTATTTTGCTGGGAAGTGAGTTCCTTGGTCAGAAGCAATGCTGGGTGGAATACCATAGTGGTGTATCAGGCATTCTGTAAGTCCAAGGATGGCAGTTTCAGCAGAAGCATGGCACTACAGGGAAGGTAAATCTGTGTCCAGAGTGCCTATTCTAGGAAGAACAAAATGATGCCTCTTCCACGACAGAAGTGGTTCCATGTCATCATCCTACCCCCGGGTAAGTGAGATGATCACCCTGGAGAGTGGTGCCATGTCAGGGGCTCAGTGTGTGTCTCTGTTGCCAGCAGTTGAGGCACTCATCAGTTGCCAAGCTGGCCTCGGTGAGAACAAGTCCATGCTGCTGAGCCCTGTATAGCCACCATGCCTCGCACCATGGCCACTTCATTCATGAGCCTGTTGGGTGTTGGTGGGGTGGCTGGGGAAAGAGGCTGACTGTCCATAGGACAGGTCATCCAATTCATTTGAATATTAAAATCCTCCTCCGCTGACGTCACCCTTTGGTGAAAATTCACATAGGACACAAATATCTTCATGTTTCCCACCGCCCCCCCTCTATTCAGAGAAGTTTATCCACATAACTCTGCCTCAAATTTCCTTGTCACCAATTTTCCAATCATGCTTGTCCCAAATCCCTGACTGTCCAGTCAAACCACTGGCCACAGCCCATGAATCGATGTATAATCACACGTCTGGTATTTCTCCTCCCAAACAAAATGAAAACCCAGGCGCGCTGCCTAAGTTCTGCCCACTGGGAGGATTTCCCTTCACCACTGCCTTCAGGGCTGTCCCAGAGAGGGGCTGCAGTGTCGCGGCCGACCACATCCAGCTGTGCCTGCATATCATGAAGAGCCATCTGTAAACCAGGCCTGTGTCTTCTCTTCCTCTGTCCACTGATCGCAAGGAACTCCCCATGAGGTTACACGTGCGGGCTGGGAGAGAGACCGCAGGGGAGCCAGGGTGGGGGGCCATGAGCCT